CTCTACAGGGTAGAAAACTTGCAGCACTCCAAGCCATCTCCAATCAATTTTGGTTAAAAATTATGGGCACAAGTTCCTGCCTTTCTGAGACGGAAATGTGTGAAAGATCAGGTAGAAGACCTAAAATTGCCATCATCATCATCATCTTTTTTTTTTTTTTTTTAATACAAAGCAATCGATTCTTCCCCCAAGCCCAGGAAAATTTTTGAAATTCTAGCTCCATCTATGTATGCTGGTTTCCCAATCATCGTGGTCCTCAGACCCCACTCCAAAACCAGTGTGGCTCCTGTGCATCAAGAGATCCCTCTGGTGGGGCTGAGGTGCAAAACTGCATTGGAAAGCTTAGGAGATCGCGTATTGATATGGAAGTAAAAAGATCTGAAACGAGGCACCGAAAAAAGATCCAGGGAAATCATTGCAGAGGAAGCATTTCTTAATCACAGCAACAACAACAACAAGCCTATGATGAAGTTTCTGTGTGTGGGTATGGATGCCTGTAGCTACTAGAGAAGGGTTTTGCCTTTGGAGAACCACAACACGCCAAATCAGATATTGGGCTATACTTAGGAAACTCAACACAATGGATGTCTATTTACAAACATACTTTTTCCTTCTGCTTGTAAAGCAAGGCTGGATTTTATTCTCCTTGGGGGGAAAATCTTGAAGAATGTCCAAAGTGGTGGTTCATAGTACTGAAGGTCTTTAGCTACATCATAAGGAACCTTAAATTTTGCAAAATGGTGCTAAGAAGTAGCCTAGTTTTAACAAGTCTGTGGGCCAGTCTTCCCTGGCCTGGGGGGCCTCCAAGAAGTGCTGAACTTCCATAATTTCCAGCCCAGACTTTGGAAAGTACCAGGTTTTTGGGTGCGGAAAGCTTCCTTATCCAAAAGCAAGAGCAGGATCTGGGATACATCAAGCTCAGTTTTATTACTGCGCTGGCAGTAGCATTGTTGGCACAGATACCACAGCTATAATATAAACAGTCATTCTAATCACATTCTAGAGATGGACCACGGGCCTAGTTTCAGGACCTCAAAATTTGGGAGACCTTGAATAACCCAAAAAGCAACCCTTAAAAAGGTCAAGGCAGGCAAGAGCTGGCACAGGAGGTCCTGAGGCAGCTTAGACCTGAATATTCTATGGAAAGTTATACAGTAGTCCTCATTTAGCGACCACAATTGGGACTGGCAACTCAGTCTTTAAGCAAAGTAGCCACTAAGTGAAACCGCGTGCTTACGATCTTACTTCACCTATCCTTTGCTTTACAGACCTGTGAAGGTCATAAATATAAGGATTGGTCATAAAGTTACTTTTTCATCACTGTCATAACTGCACACAGTCACTAAATGAGGCAGACGCTAAATGAGGACTACCTGTAAAACCATCTTACATTGTTCTACGGATACAGCCAACTCACACTTCGACTTTGGAGCCTCACATAGCCAAAAGAGCACCATCCGCTTATGAAAAAAGCTTAGTGAAATTCCAGAGTTTATGGAAACAGGAAAAAAAGATATGGGAAAAAACTTAGGTCTTGGAAGAGAAATATTAAGGAGTCCACCAATGCCCAGAGAAGCTGAGTTGGTACGGAGAGTTGAGAAAAAAGAGAAAACGTAGAGGAAGAGAAACAGAATGAAATGCCTGTCGAAGAGGCCCTCCCAGCTCACTTCAATTCTGACCCCTCCATGCCACAACGCATTATTGTAAGACCTATTTGCTGTTTGGTCACAGAAAATCCTGGAGTACTGAAAATGTAATTTTGACGAGCAGGAGCAGACAGGTTTTGTGGAAGCACCTTCTCCTATCTAGTAGCCAGGTTATATTCATCTTCCATTCTTCCTCTAAGCTCAGAGTAGCTTGTATATAATTCCCAAATGGTTTTCCATATGCCCACAACCCAGGTGCCTTCAGAACCATGCTGAAAGAAAAGAGAAGAGAAAAAAAATCTATTTACTGACCTCTGTTTTTATCTTGGGGATCAGTTAATACCAGGAGTGTGCATTTACTGTCATCTCTGTACAGAGGAAGGAAACTCATTGACGACGTCTCCAGTTTCATCTGTAATCAAAGAGCTTATTTACATTCATGTTCTCCAAGTATGCCAGTTACAAAAAACCAAAAATAATAATAATTAAAAAAAAACAGGAAATCTCTAATGAACAGCAATGCTATTTAAATGTGGGCTTTTGTATCAGATGCATTTTTAGACTGACATTAAAACTAGCTTTTCCGGCTGGCGTACAATGGTTTAGAAGGCAACCATATGAACCGCTGAATGTGGAATTCGATTATGCAGACCGCCCCAATGCTCCAAGTAGGGGAGACGGTGCATCGCTACGGCATCAGATAGGGATTTCAGAAAACGGTGGCTGTGTTGGTTTTGGTAACTATCTAGAGCTGTTAAAGGAGTGGGCAGGACGTCCATTCTCTAAACAAATAAACAAATTACACGTTCTAGTATTCGGATGTTATGAGGAGCAGTGTCTGAAGAGGGAGGGAGGGAAAGATGGTATAAAAGAGACGAGAGAGAAAGTGAGAGAAGGAGGGAGGGAGGGGAAAGTTGGTGTAAAAGAGATGACAGAGAAAGTGAACAAATAAACAAATTACACATTCTAGTATTCAGATGTTATGAGGAGCAGTGTCTGAAGAGGGAGGGAGGGAGGGAGGAGATGGTGTAAAGAGACGAGAGAGAAAGTCAGAGAGAGAAAGATGGAGGAAGGAGGGAAGGGAAAGATGGTGTAAAAGAGACGAGAGAGAAAGTCAGAGAGAGAAAGATGGAGGAAGGAGGGAAGGGAAAGATGGTGTAAAAGAGACGAGAGAGAAAGTCAGAGAGAGAAAGATGGAGGAAGGAGGGAAGGGAAAGATGGTGTAAAAGAGACGAGAGAGAAAGTCAGAGAGAGAAAGATGGAGGAAGGAGGGAAGGGAAAGATGGTATAAAAGATGAGAAAGTGAACAAATAAACAAATTACACATTCTAGTATTCAGATGTTATGAGGAGCAATGTCTGAAGAGGGAGGGAGGGAAGGAAGGAAGGGAAAGATGGTGTAAAAGATGAGAGAGAAAGAGAGAGAGAAAGAGGAAGGGAGGGAGGGAGGATTACCACAGCTGGTTCTCATAAGAGAAAACCATGGTTTTCTTGTGTTAGTGCTGGACTTAACCAATGCATGTGAAAAACTTTCAGTACCTTAAAACTTGATATACAATGGTACCATGAGAAAAATCTTCTTTATTTTCTTCTTTCAGCACTTTTTTCCCAAATAACTTTATTAGATTTTTAATATAAAAAGATAAAAACTAACAAGAACGAGTAATTAATATAGAAAGCAGAGAAGAGAAAAAGTTAAAGAATGAAAAAGAAAACAAGGTCCAAAATGCAGAAAGAAAAAGAAACACAAAAGAAAAATGACTCCCGACTTTCTTTTACAACAGATATAAGTATAAAGTTGCTTTAAGCTCTTACTCTAAGTTTACAACATAACTCATTTTTTTCTGTTGTTTATTATTATTTCTAATCATCAAATCCATATATCATGATTTCATTTTTTTTCTGTTTCATGCAAAAAGTCCAAAAGGGTTCCCAACCAGCATTAAAATTAATCAATGTCTTTTCTCTAATCAAAGCTATCAATTTTGCCATATCAGCCAGCTCCATCAACTTCACCATCCATTCTTCCATTGTAGGTAACGTCAAATCTTTCCACCATTTGCATATAAAAGTCTCGTTGGTTTTACCATATATAAAAACAAAGTTCCATGGTTTTTTCCCAATGGTTCATCCATCAGTTGCAAAATAAATATTTCTGGTTTCGATTTGTGTGTTAGTGTTTAAGGTCTTCTGGATTAATATATGTATTTGAGTCCAGAATGTTTTAGCTTTTTTACATGTCCTCCCAACATGATAAAAAGTCCTCTCTTGTGGTTCATTCCTCTTGTTGTTCATTCTTTCAGCTCTCGTTCAATTTATTAAAGAGAATTAGTTTTCAAAATAACTTTCAAAGGAGAAGAGAAATTCAGTGAAAGTCTCCTAGAAGGAGTATGGTGCTCCTGCGCTCCTTTAGTTACAAAGAGGTAATATGGGATTGTCTTGACTTTTATAGTGGAAACCTCTCCAGCCACCTATAGCTTTTCTACCTTCAATTCCATCTCAACCCAAAACAACCTTGTTCCTCCTCTCAGGGTTTTTTTTTTAAGATTGGGAAGAGTAGACAGCTAGGAAACGATGGAAAGACCTCCCAGAGAAGAAACAAGAAGCAATCTCTTCCAGGAATAAAGCCATCTCAAGGGACAACTGCAGGACTGCACTTCTGTCTGTTCTGCCTCTGAGATTCCAAGCTTCATATTTTCATCATAATCTAATTTTAATTCAGACAGACTTCAAGTGCCTAGACAAATGGGGCTCCTTAATGCCATGACTGCTTCAATAGGGCTCCATCTGCAGATACCATCTCTCTGCTCCCCACCCTAAGTGCAGCAGGAAGTCAAAATAATATTTACGTTCCAACTGTCAACCACGGAAATCAAGAAATTTTGGAATCAAGGGCAAAACGGCACCCTCAGGTCACCCTCTTACGTCTTATCACTGAAAGGTTTGCAAGGTCACTTAGTTCTTCCCACCTCCAAGCCCCCGCTGGGCACCAGACGGATGCCAACGCTCAACCCTCTTCTGTGATTTCCAAGCCCCCTTTCCTGGTTGGGTTTAGCCTGGGAAGCAACTGTGCTTCTCGGACACCAGGGGGCAATAAAATTGTATTTTGTGCCAGACCGACTCTTCTCTCTGGCTATGCAAAACCCCATCTCAGCCATTGCTGGCTTTTTCTTCTTCTTGGAAATCACTGCAAACTCTACTCCAAAATTGCACAAAGCCAGATTTCAACTTGCTGTTCTATTGCTCCCATTCAGGAGCATCGGCCACTTACTGAAGCCTTTTCTGGCCTGGCACGTCAGAGAAATGTATGAAGCAGAAATCTGCACTCCAAAAGGAGACCCAAAGGATGAGGAATGGGAGATGGACATATAGACAACATCTACCCCCAGCTGGGAATAGCTTGCGCTGCAGAGATAATCTGCAAGCATTTTTATCTCTTCTCCATCAAGCCTTTTGGGTTCACATTTTCCATAACAACATGATACACACTCAAAAACTCGACTTGCTGGAATCAAAAAGCCCCTCTGGTACCAAAAGGAAATCAACTGTATCCAAGTGGTCAAAGATCATACAGTAAGAACTTTCTATTTACAATGCAAATTCTTCTCCCAGATCGGAGTCCAAACCAAAGAAGGACTTCAGTCATAGCTATGGGCTTGCATGCATTCTGGATAATTGCTCAAGTTTTTCACCAAGCAGACATGTTTCCCACTTGACAAATCAAAATGCTTTGGAAAATATCTCTCCAACTCCATTTCAAAACAGGCTCCTCGCCCAGCAGAGCACCAATGAAAAGTCCCCTGGGTCACACCAAACTACTTACACAGAACTCAGCCACTTGTGATTAATTCAACAAATCATGGCCTACTGTGGCAGATTAATCAGATCTCTGCCATTGACAGCCACTGCAAGCAGTATGGCTGGTACAAATAATGGGCTATTATCTTATCTTGGACAACAGCAACAATATCGCTGACGTTCTGCTGTTCCACACCACTGCATTGAAGGGCTATCCACCCAGCAGAAAACTATACCAGCATGAAATTTGCTGTCCCCATCACCAACCACCATCTGACTTCCACTGCCTCTGTTCCCGGCCACTGCCTATTTCTTTCCAAAGTAATAAATGACATGGTATTTTACATTTGAGGTTACCCTTGGATGATGCTGATGTCAACGTTGATCTGCCCCACCAACGTGGTTGGTGATAAGATGTGGGACAAGGAGTGAGGAGACCCAAAAGGTCATTGGGTGACCTAGGGGCAGCCTCAGCCCAATCTATCTCGCAGGGTTGCTGTGGTGGAGGAACACAGGAAGAGGGATACTACGGACGCTTTGATATATGAAAAATACAGTAGACTTACATTCTCTTGGCCTGGAACAGAGAAATGCTCTGCAGCTAATGATGCTTCCTCTATACGTTTTGCATGATTCTTGTGAGGCCCTGTTTCCAGAATGTCCAAGTTTTCATCTTTAATATCCATTGGAAAAACACAATCTGGGAGAAGGAAGAATATGAAGGGTCAACCTTGATACAGATTACTCAAATCCTGACCACCAAAGGGGCCTGCAGTGTGGGCAAAAAAGTCAAGATGGCAGCTGCAATGGCATGATCAAACCCCCATCCTTTTTTATATGCAAAATGCACTATCGGCATCAAATTCTACAGCCAGTTATCGATCCTGCCTTTTGAGGAAACTGCACCAACAATTTTTCTCAATGTTCCTTTAGATATTGATTCCCAAACATCAATGCTACTGATCGCTGAGATTAGGACATGTAATCAGTGAGTTGTTCAGATGCGTTAAAAATTTAAAAATCCCTTGTTAGATGCGTTAAAAATTTAAAAATCCCTTGTTAGATTAGGCATCAGACTTAGCATGCTAACTTGGCTAACTTAGCATGCTAGCATGGCTAGCACAACATGCTAACTTTGGTTAATATTAACCATGGTTTGTAACCTAGCACATTGTGCAAACACAGTGGCTTTTATGGCTGGATGTATTGTGTGAGCCCAGAAAATGAGTTAATTCAGTCACCAGGTTACATATGCTACATGCATACAAAATAGTTACGTAACTACAGATGACAAATCTCTTTTCACAAGCTCACCTCCATCATAGGAACTGGGAGCTTATGGCCTCCCAGATGTTGGAATGAAACCCTGACCACCAGCCATGTAGACTTTGGGTGGACGTTGACAACAGCAATACATGGAGACCACAAGTTACCAACTCTTATGGCAGCTATGAGACAGACAGACAGACAGACAGACAATCGCTGAATTATTTTAAAAACCCAAACTACCGTCCCACAGTGAAATGCAACTGATAAACTATTAAAACTCAACCTATTACCATTTGAGATGCAGTATCTTTACTCCTCTCTATATTCAAGACTTGGCCCCATCAGGGATACCAGAAATGTCTCCTTCAACGTCTACCTCAGAAAGGCAAACAATGGGAATTAAAGTATACAAAGTGAAAGCAAAACCACAGAAACCATTTTTGTCTCACTGCAGTGGCTGAGAAATCACATCAATTTGAAGTTTAAAGGAAGGTTAGCAAACATGTCTACCTCCTTTTGAATGTTGTAGGAGAACCACAAGAATAACAAGTACTGTAGTTCAAGCTAGGTCTCTCTCTCCCCCCCCCTTTTTTTTTTTGCCTTTGAGTCAATGTTGACTCCTGGTGATCGCCTGGACAAGTCTCTGCAGTTTTCTTGGCAAGGGCTTTTCACAAGTGCCAAGGCCTCCTTCCTAGGGCTGAGAGGTCACCCAGCTGGCTTCATGCCTAAGGCAGGGACGAGAACTCATGGTCCTCTGGTTTCTACCCTGGTGCCTTCACCACACCACCAAACCGGCTCTCCGGTCTCTTCTTAGGTCTCTACATAAGCAAAACATGGAAAGCTTCCAGCGCTTGAAGTGGCTAAACAAATCTGAGAGCCACTGTATTCAAATATATCCCACTTACTGCAAAATTTCTCCTTGGGTTTTCAAAGTCATAATCTTCCAGCCAAGACAAAGATCTACTAGCCCTCACATGATGTAACCCACCACTGGAAATGCAAGATTGTCAACTTGGAATTACAGCATTCTCATTCTCTGGATGACCATCACAATAGTTTACAGATCTGGATGGCCTGAAGTGGCAATATTTATTCAGCAATTTTTTATAGGGCCCCAAGACCAAGACTCTGGCTTCTCCCTTGTGATTCAGGATGATTTGTAACAAAATGGCAAACTCTATTACATATATGAAGCACTAAGTAACCTATTTTGTTGGTGCAACTCCTAACATGGTAGTGTCTGCTGCCCTCAACCACAGAGATTTTCTTTTACTCAATGACACCATTTGAAGGAGATGACCACTGCAAACTGATTTAGCTATGAATATTCCAGCCTACCCACCACCGCCACCGCCACCAAAGAGCACAATTTCAACCACCGAGAATAGGTTACAGTGTTGTCTCAACGGAGCATGAATGCTGAGTCCTCGGTCATCTCCAAGAATGGTTTTCCTCTTTCTTCAATGCTTGTGTCAGAACAAGCCAGAGGAAAGTTATAGAAGATTTACCGGTGAACTGAACTCTAGGTGTGCAGTCAGGTGCATTTAGATGGCACAGTTGCTATCTACAATGGGATAGCCACCAACATAGCTCGGGACTCCTCCTTTCATTATTGTTTTTAGCTGCCTGTATTATCCAAATGTGGGGGATGCTTCTTCAGACCAGAACAAGCCAAAGCAGGAAATCCATAGTTATGTTTCCCTGCTTGATTTGTTCCAGCCAGAAGAAATTATCACACAAGATTCAGATGACACAGCCATCTAAAAACAAATGGTGGGTGGATGGTGGGTGACTATCAAGTTACGAAGGAGCAGCCCAGGGCATGTTCACAACAAAGCCAAAGTCAGAAGCCGCCATGTCACTGAAATCTATCCACTGGCTTGAATGAACAGTTAAAATTCAGTTTACCAATTAAAAATTATTTGAAAATACATGTTTTCCCATAGACAGGTAGGGAGAAGATCATGGTGCTGAGAAAGCACACGGATGAAGAGTTAGATGTCTCCTCCTTAACCGTTCCCTTATTCTCAATCATCCCTACTTCAAGATTTTCCAGATTTAAAACTGGCTGCCAGATGGAGCCTCCTTTGAGCTGAGTTCAATTTCTGGAGACTTCATGGACATTTCCATGCAGTTTTTTGGCAGCAACATGGAAGTGGTTTGCCAATACAGTAAACCCTCAACTTAACCCACCAATAGGGGAAAGGGATGTCCGTTAAAGCAGAAAGCCCATTAAATTCAAATGGGATTTTACACGCTTAGATTTCATTATCATATGCGTTCCAGCAATAGGATTTTATGCATGCTTATTTTATACATCTCATGCATTCCATGCATGGGTAAAAATGGGAATGGGATTTTACCCATGCATATATTACCTATTCTATCCAAGCATAGAATGGCAAATGGGATTTTCCAGATGTGTGAAAGCATACAGTGTATGACCAGATTTCCTCCCGTGCATTCAAAATCCACAGGATGAGCTCCATTAATTTGGAGGTTTACTGTACCTCTCTCCCTCCTCTTTTTTTTTTTTAACCTCCCAGTCTAGTCCACAGCCGTAAGATTTCTATGCATGTACTAACCAGACCTGGCTCTCCTTTAGCTTTTCAAGATCAGCCAAGGTCAGCTAGGAACTTCCACCTAGCAGTGTTCCAGATTAGCTGCTGGTCTACAGCTACATCCATTTGCTAGACTTTGCCCAGCACTACCTAGAAGGACGGGCATCAGAATGACTTCCTTCTTAAGCCTACAGCTTTTGAGCACAGTTGCGTAGCCAGAATGGTGGTCAGAAGACCTCAAACTGAAACCCTACGGTCTCCAAGGTTCTCATTACAGTTGTTGTTTCGATTCCCTCACAAAACAAAAACCAACTCTTGGTATCTTCCTTGGACAGAGAGATAGAAAGACTGTAAATGGCTCTCTTCAAAGCCTGTCAAATAACTATATAAGGGAAAGGGTACCCGTTCTACATGAGGAAAAGAAAGGAGACATCATTATTACTCAGTGCGCTGACATATTTCTGAGTGGAGGAATGCCCTGTAGGATTAACAGCAATCTTATTTTTAACATCTTTATGCACAGATTGAAGTTGACAAGGCACGCGCTTCCATGAACAGCAAGATACAAAGCGTTCCACACAGCACACTGTATTCTTTCCCAGTAATGCTTGAATCCTAGATATAGCATCTCTCACCCTCATAAAAACTCTGCCAAGAATTCAAAATTCACTTTAAATTCCAGAGACGTCCAGTGAACAAGTCTTCTCTACAATCATTCATTTGAACGAACCCAACAATGAGCCATCTACCTAAAAAGATGGAAAAACATCACAGGGCCAAACCTTAACCAGAACTATCTTTTATTTTTAATTCTTGCCAGCTAATATCTTCAGTGTATAGCCCCACCCAAAAACCCAAGAATTTCATTCATGTTTTATTGAAGCCAGCTTCCTTTTGCAGGGGAATCTAGCTGGACTGAAGCAAAAAATTACAGCTCTGTTGGTTGTTAGGGGGGGAAAAAATCTTGTATCTGTATTAGTGACATACATTTATTTACTTTTAAATCTAGGCGTCAGAATTGTGCAGCACTTCCAGCTTTCTCAAATGTAAGACGGGAGATTAATCTACCTATTGGACTTCTGTTTAAAAGAGTTGCAAGGGGAAAAAAACGTAGCATAGCCACGCTATTTTCATATTTATGCTATCTTTATAAACTGATGTATTTTGTTGAGGCAGACCAACACTTGTTCTCGCTTCATCTATCAGCCAGACAAGAGGGGAGGCGTTCCAGCAAGTACAAAGTAAAAACTTGTGAAAAATGGTCAGCATTACTCTTCTACTTGCTACTTTCTACAAAGGGGTCCCTTCTCTCCCCCCCCCAGGAGCTGGAGAGTCCAAAACATTACTGAATTTAAACAGCTGGATTGCATTAAAAAAAAAAAGCTATTCTCCCTAGTGATATAGAAAGAGGATATTCTGTTGGAAAGTTACAATAAGCCCACACCGGTGTGATTTTAAAAAACAACAAACTTATAGAAAGATGATTAACAAAGGGTGGGGGGTGGAGGTAGAGTTGTAAAACATGAAACTAGAGGGGTGGTCTTCTGCCACCAAAGAAAAGGTACCATATAGCCATCCGGTGAGTAAATTTAGAACAAGAGGCCGCCTGGGTTGGAGAGATTCCAGACATTCGAGCTCTTGCATTTCTGCAAAGCTGAGAGAGACTCTGCCATCTTAAATAACCCAAGTTGGTAAACAAGGTCAGGACGGGACTGGACGTCACATGTCCCGATTCTGCAGCCGCAATGTCAACAAAGATCTTGGCCAGTAGATAGCAGCCTTGGCTCCGTTTTACACAGAGCCATTAGCTCCGTTCACGCTGGCGAGGAAAGGCTCCTGTTTAATGCAAAGGAAATAACGTGCATTTTTTTACGGCACTGGGCACCCTCTCGATCTTTTCTGTTACCAAGGGCAAGGAAAAGGAAGGAAAAATCCCTCCATCAGATCATTCAAAATTGATTTCTCCTAACTAAAGTTTACAGAAAACCTCGATAAAAGCGGGTTTCAGTTTAAAATGGGACCTCTGCAGCTAGTTCACTGGTTTTCATCGGAGCAGAATATTTGGCTGCCTGGCGTAGAAAGTAGAAACGTGCCTCAGCTGTATACTCACAACTCAAGGTTGACAGCACCCCAGGACAGATGTGATTTTGCTCCCGGCAGCAGAAATGACCTGAAACGGTTCATCTCCGTCCCTCCCACCATCAAAGTGCAGGAATCGTAAATGAGTAACTAAACATTCGCTGCCTTTTCATGACACCCCAAACCAGCTGCCCTGTCCTGCGTGCGAACAGGACCCGCTCGGCAGACAATGGGATCTGCAAGTCATGCTTTGGGTACACATTGTCTACCAATCAATTTTCTTCGAAAAATCTGTTAAGCACCTGCCGTAGAACAGCCACATTTCAACAATGTTGTGGTTGAAAATTGCAAATCAGAACACGTCCTGAAAAACAGGATGGGCTGAGACCTATACGGCACGCTTGGTGAGATAGTTATTAAACAAAACTAGGGGAAAAAAAATATGCTATGTGAAATGTTATATGCTGCTTAAGGATCTCCAAAGACATTTTTTCAGTAGTAAAAAGTAGCTGAAATTAAATTTTTGCTCAGGGTAAAAATCAAGGTGATGAAGAACATCATCATGTTCTTGAATAGTGTGGGTTTAAACATGACATTTAATTACTGGTATATTTAGAAATTATTTTAATCGGAATAGTTGTAAATATTTTAAGCCATGGAGCTCAACAATATATACTTCATTTACCCTAGATTGTAAGGGGAAAATAAACTGTGTTAAGGTGGTCTCAAATCTTCAAGCATGAATAGATGGGCTTCTTAGACATAACTACTTGAAAAAATTAAAGTCAGTTACAGAAATCAGTTCATTTCTAATTTGACAGATGGTGGGCAACCTCTAGTTACCCAATTTCATTTGTACTATATTAATAATTAGATTATGTGCCATCAAGTCGGTGTTGACTCTTAGCAACTATGCAGATAGATCTTCTCTAGGAAGGCTGGTTGATCCTTCAGGTCTTCCAACGGTGCACCCATCACCTCTGTAACTAAGTCCATCCACCTTGCTTTTGGTCATCCTCTTCTCTTTCCTTCCACCTTTCCCAGCATTACAGACCTCTCCTGAAACCACATCTTTGCTTAATATATCTGAATTAATAATTAGGCCACTAATTAAGCTACATGCTACATGATATGTATAGCATGCAGCTACCCCCGTTCGTTTGCTTACAGTATGAGGGCAGTCCTGCTCCTATCTGGGCACCCTCCCAAGGTGTACACATCAACCTAGAAATCTCAGCAATGATGAAGTTTGCTATAAAGTTGTGGGAATTGACATCCATACATCAGAAGGTTCCCAGCTCAGGAAGGACTATTTTACAAGATGATCTCTCAAAGCCATGTTGATTCTGCAATTATTCTAGCCCCTGGTAGGAGAGGGCATCAACAGAGCTTGTTTTTCTTCTAATTCCTGGCCAGAAGAAAGACTAAAACATGCCGCCAGAGTTTTCCTAGTTCCTACTTTCAGAGGCTCTATTTTAATTTTTAGATATTTCAGGGCCCCGGGTTTTGTAGGCATAGCAAAGTTATCTCTGAAATAGATGCTTTCCATTTTCTAAAAAGTATATTAGGCTTGGGGGCTACAGATCGCCCATCCCTATCCTAGGGATACACAAGTTACACATTATCACACCAGTGATATTGCAAGAAAAATCATGTTTACAACTCATGTTCTCATTGGAGAACGGTTAATAAGCTTCCAGCCAATCTCTGGGATGTTCTAGAATACACCCAAAAAAACCCCACCGCATTGCTAAGCATTACATTTCCAACCATTTTCATGGAGTCAGTGGAAAAAGTAAGAAAAAAAAATTGTCACCCTCCCCTAACAGCTGTAGAAGATGGGAGAGGTAATCTGGAGGGCCCTGGGTTGAGATTCAGCTGTCAAATGGGGATATGCCAAATGACTAGCCACACAGTATCCTTGACACACAAAAAGCCAACTACATTTTAGCCTACCACGTGGTTCCAACCCAGCCCGTGTGGTTATATCAACACAGAAATGCGACGAACGTGATTAAAACCATGGGGATATAAAAAGCTACACCACCAAGCATTTGTAGCATGTCTTTCCCTGTCCTGAAGTGAAATTCTGCCTGTTCAAAACCGCAGGCTTAGATTTCATCACCATCAAGATAGCCTGGGCTGAAGCAAAGTCAGAAATATTCTACAACCCAAAGAATGTATTTTTTTTTCAATGCCACAAATACAAGCCAACAAAAGCCAAGTGGCTTTGAAGTGAAATCCCACAAGGAAAAACAAAGTGGCTGTAAACAATCACGACAGTGATCTGTCAGTCTCCCCGTAAGGCAGATTTCTTTTAAGAACTGACCATAGGTTATTATACAAGCAAAATTACAGTGCGTGTTGCATCTCCCAAGCAGGAGAAGGTTCAACAGCCAGGAGCCACTCCTGGAGACGGGGGGGGGGGGGGGGGGGTGCGTTGAAAGATGAGAGATGATGCTACAACACAGGGAAGAGACGCATAATTTTCTGAATGGGTGGCTTTCAGAGGTATCATGGGGGATGTGAAAGTTTTTCTTAAGGTTTTAAACCATGTTTCAGAGCACTCCCACAAGAAGATTCTGCACCAGTTGGAAAGCCTTTGTGGGCTTCAGTGTGCCCATGAGGATAGTGGCGTTGGAGAAATGAAATGAAGTATTTCTGCCTCTGCCACGCAGGAGTTCAAAGGACCATACAGTGTTTTTATTTTTATTTTTTTATTTATTAAATTTCTCACCTGCCCATCTCCCCCCAATGGGGGAACTCTGGGTGACTCACGACAAACATTAAAAACATAAATATATATAATTTTAGGTGCTGTGGCTCTGCTTCTCTTTGGAAGGAACTCTCATTTCACCTTTTCTCCTAGCTGCTAAGGTCCAGGTCCTATGAGGGCAATGCCAGCTTGACAGCTTTGCAGCTCTCCCTGGGTAGCACAGAGCAAAGGAGGTGGGTGAAACTGACAAGTATTTTGCCAATGTCTTCCTTGCTTTGGAGAAGTCAGATTGGCATAAAAAATACCAGACCTTGTATGTTTGCTTGCTTTCCAGGGGTGGGGGGGTAACTGTAGGACTTGCAACAGCTCAGAGCGAGTCTCTGCTTTTCACTCCCTCTTTTCTGCATTTCAACTCAGCAGAAGTGATGACAATCACAGACTGGCATGCATAACGCTGCTTCTGAGGGTCTGGGGAAAGAAAAGGTGGCAGCATTGGCAGCATAGGAGTGTCTTAAAGCTTAACAAATAGATTTTCTCTACAACTTGCCTAAAAATTGGCTACCAATTTTTTGTAGTCTGCTGCTAAACTCTGGTGGTGCCACCAGAGCTTCACAGCTGCCAGTCACCAAACTCTGCTATAAAAGAACCACAAAGTCATTCTCAGAGTGTGGATCTTCAAAGAGCCAAGGCATCAACTTCCCAACAAGGAAACATCAACAGGCTAAGGGAAGGTCTGCAGAAATACAGACAGTAGTCCTCAGGTCATGTCGGTTCATTCAGCAACTGTTCAAAATTACAACAGCACTGAATGAGGGAGACTTATGACTGGTCCTCGGAGTTCTGGCCGTCACAGCATCCCTGAGGTCATGTGATCATGATTTCCGACATTCCCTGCTGGCTTCCCACAAGCAAAGTCAATGAGGAAGCCAGCAGGAAGTCGGAAGTCATAGTCACACTTCCTCGGAAGGTCCTCGCTTAATGACAGCAACCAGGACTGCTCAAAATGCTGTCACTAAGCAACACGGTCCTATGACATCATGCTTTATGACCATGTTGCTTAGAGACAGCCATTCCAGTCCCAACTGTCGTTGTAAGCCGAGGACTGCCTGTATAAACATTCCAGTAAAACAGACTTCAAAAGGAAGATGGGCAAAATATAGTGAGCACCAGGTATATTCACCAGTGATGGAATTCTATATATATAAATAATATGTTGCTTAGCAGTCCTTCAAATATGGAAAGGCCTGATTTGCACAAAGAAGATATTTAAGGAAAGTTTATGTGACTTAATAACCCTATAGCAGTATTTTTTTTAAAATATATAATTTTTATTAAAGAAAATTTTTACAAAGTTAAAAGATAAACACAAAGTTAAAAGATAAACACACACACACACACACACACACACACATATATATATATATGAGTGAGAAA